AGCAGTCCCTGACCTAAACATGCTGGTATGCCTCCTCCCAGTGATGTAAGGGCTGAAACAAACTCTGACTCGAAAGTCAAGTCCTACGGGCAGCACTATATAATGGTCCAGATACTTGCCGTTTTGTGCTGCTGTTCACTGCCTCAGTGTTACATCATGACCTACTGCCACGTTCATTTCAGCAGTACTGGCTAAAAACCTGCACTCAAAACCACTGCCCCCTACCCAGTGCAAAAACTTGCATGTCACCCTGTTAGAACTGTGCAGGCTGCTGAAAAGTAGATGTAAGGCAATAGTAGAAAGCTGTAACTTTACCAAATAATTCTGGTTTTCCTATGCCACATTTTAGAACCAAACAATGGAAGAAGTGATAGATTTTAAGCCATTGGCTTTTTATTAATGCCAGTTTTCCACCCATAAGACATTCCTTTGGGTATTATTCTACAGCTAACAAATCCAATGCTTCTAACAGCTTAAGCCTTGGTAACTACAGGGATACCGGTATTCTTTCATTTTGCTAATATAACAGTTGCAAAACAGTTGACTCCCAAGAGGTTTAAGAAGCCTCTAATATTCAGGCTGGGAAGGGGTAGGGCTGGGGCGTGCATCTGATGCACACAAGCTGTGCCAGCTGCCGCTGTAATGCACCGCGGCAGCTTTCATGCAGGGCAGTTCAGAGCTCGCAATGCAGCGCGGCCAGCGTTGTAACATGACACGTACGTGGCCGCAGGACTGCTCAGTGGTTAGCAATAAAACACTATTCACCACCATCTGAAACCACCTGAGAAGCCACTCAGAAATATCAGGAAAAGGGGAAGGTATTTGTTCGCTTTTTATCCAAAGAACAATTTACAGAAGGGAAAATTTACTCATGATTTCAGCCTTGCCACTTCAAAGCGAAACACAGTGCAGTGTTACATACCCTAAATTAATCTTAAATACATTGTTTGAAACACATTACTATAGTAATAGGAAGCAATGACTTCGAGAACTTTTAGTATTTCAGTTTCCTTAACAGGCAGGCAGTTACCTCTTTAAGATTACAGGCATGCTCTTCACAAACGGCCTAACAATTTTTACACACTGAGAGGGAGAACAAGAAACTGGTCTTCTCTCCTCTGAGTTGTGAAGAGTCACTTTGACAGAGTAAGATCCCTCTCTAGTGACACAGTTATTGTCCTAGTAAGTAGTACAGATGGTCAATATTTTTTTTTTTTCTCTTCAGCGTTGTTCATGCTAAAATCACTCTTTAGTAGCAAGCTGGAAAAGCCAAGCACTGCTAGACACTTCAGAGTCAACGACCAATGAAAAAAAACTAATAGCACTTAACAGCTGCTAGCTTTTATAAGCAAAGACTGTCCCACCTTCATCTTCAAATGATCCTTTTGCACTTAAGTTTGTACCGTGGTTCTGATACAGAACTCACTGTTGGCATTTTTGGCCTCACACTGCTAACTTACCAATGTAACAGATGAAGCGACCTCAGAAAGCCAAACACAACCAATAACCAAACCCATAACAACTGTTGAAATACCTCTGCAGGTGCTAGGGTTCTGATGGAGAACAGATGTCATGGAACAAAGGTACCCATCCGTAATAGCTCCAGTAAGACGCCGCTACATCTTTGTCTATAATCTGCTGCTCAACCCCACATCTCCAACACCTTAGAACAGCTCCTGTGAATTTGACTAAATTAAATTGACTGCTACTGCAGGAGTGACTGGTAATTCAACGTCTAGAGAAATGTGGCATATGCGTGACTTGAGGTAGAAGGGGTAGACCTGTTCATGACGTTGGTAAGCAGCTGAGCAGTCAGTCCTGGCACCACAGGGTACATACAAGTTTGAATTTGAGAGAAACTCCTATGGCTGGTTTGACACGCCTGAATGCCAATATCTATCTTCCTCATTTTAAGATTGGTAGGAAGGAAAAAAAAAAAAAAAAAGATATACCTGCTGCCCTTAAGCTGAGGGCAGATCTATGCATCTGTAGTGTCTCTATTAGATATAAGAAGCCAGAGGTCTAGGGAAATAACTGAAGTGTTAACAAAGTGTTAGCAGCTTTGCTTTTTTCTTCCTTACAAGCTACTATCACTTCATGTCACTGAACCAATTCTCATACATTTGTTTGGGGCACCAAGTGGGAAAAACTCATTATCCTTCAAGTTCAGCTGTTAAGAATACAGGATTATGTTTTATTTCTACCTGGAATAAAGCAGGAGCATTAGCTCTTTTTGAACTACGGCCAGGTGGATGCACATTTAATTGCCCTCATAGCTCCTCCTGTTTCAAAATAAAAACATCTGTCAAAATCATTGCATTTTCAGAACTCCTTCATTTGAAGTAAGTGACCTGGTTTCCTTAAACTTGAAGAGCTTAAGGTAACAAAGACAGAGGGTTCTCTTTCTCTATTCCTCTCAGCCAAGAATGGCTTGTACGTATTTATATAAGCAGCTAAATTTCACCTTGAAACCTGCATTCTAAAGGAGTTCAGAAAGCTTAGAAAACCGAACAGGAGAATGAAGCCATCTTCTGACCACTGTTAAAAACAGAAGTACTGTGTCCTGTAGTAATTTGTATGCTGAAAATTTCTGTACCAATGCAGTTATGCGTATGTTCACCCTAAGGCTCTGTACACAAACCTGACTAGCAAAATGCACATGCTACATAGAAAAAAAAAAAAGCAATGTGCGAGTAGTTTGTTCAGTCTGATATTCTGATACAGGTCTGATAGTCTAAACTGTAGATAGCTACTTTTTACTAAGCTTTTCACACAGAGTGCTAAATATATATACAGACGCACACACTGTGTACTCCCCAACATTCACGTTCCAGGTCTGAAACTTGCCCGGCAAACTTCAGATGGAACTTCAAAAAAATTATCATCATGCCTTAAAAATGTGGGGTTTGGAACATAAGTGGCAATCAGGTTCTTCATGTAGTAATGCCATGCCAGGAGAAGACATGTCTTAATTAATCCAAAAGATTATACACATTTGACTCCAATCATCCAGCTGCCTTCAACCCCTGTCTCTTTTCCAGCCTGAAGTCTCCTCTGGACATGCACTTGTTCAATACCCGTGATCAACTTTCAGCATTTCTTGAGGGTGAACCACAGACTTTAATTTTAAAACATTCCATATGAAGTACTATAAAGACTACACGTACATGTGGTTGTGCAGACTACTTACCGTAACTACTGATCCAAAAGCAAAAACTGACAATCAGGTTGGCCAGGATAGAGTTGTGTGTTCAAAGTCTCTCACTAGAAGTTTCCAATGCTTTGAGTGTTCAATCCTTAGTCCTTAGCTCCCCAGTTGAGAATAAAGAAAGTATAATCAAATAATCTTCCAATTTCTTTATACTTTTACAGTGTTCCCTAGTGCACATTCAGCAAGCTATTCAGAGAAGGTGAAAAAGAAAAAAAACCAGCAAAAAACAAAAAACAAAACCCCAACTTATATTTTGGCTTATACCATATTGCCCCTGGTATAGGCACCAGAACACTACCATCTCAATTCAAGGGGAACTCAACTTTTCTTTAGTGGTTTTGGCAACTGAAAAATTGCTGGACACATCTTCCTTGCAAGGGGATGATAGGATTTTTTTTTTAAATCGTATCTGATCAAAATCAATAAATTAACTTAACCTGTTGATGTATGAGAAAGCTGTTGACTTTTTTGGAACTATTCTTAAAAACATAATGAAAAAGAAAACTCTGCCATCACTGAACGTCTGGGCAACACGGCACAGGAGAGCTGCCACTGCTAATGTGGCATCACCGCCACTGATGACCAGCTGCTGTATAAAAATGTCTTTGCTCTCAAGGGAGTCACAGGCAGTGAACATACGCTCTCCTTTAACGATCAGCGTTGCAAAATCTACCATGAATAGAAGTTAAGTCAAGCTCTTCTCTGCTTGGAAGAGATGTATAATAGTTTCCCATAACAGGTTACCAGCTTGGAGGATGGGATTTTTTTCTAATAATGAATATGAAAAAAGTGTATCCAATTATGTAATTTCATTCTAAGAGAAAGGCTAATTGGACACTTACAGCTTTCTTCACTTCTGTTTTCATACATGAGCAGGAACTCTATCACTTTCAATTCCTCTGTATAATTCTTTTCTTGAAAACAGGACTGGAATTTGACCAGACACAGAATAAACTGGGAATTACAAAACAGTATGAAATTCTGTTAAGATGGTCCTTCCGCTGTGGTGCTACTGTTATCAAGGAGGGCTGTTAAGTGAAGGCAGGTACATGCTGAAATACACAAGACATGATTTATTGAGAAAGTTTATTGGTTTACAGGTCACACCTACCTCTTTATTAAAAAAGCTCTTTATCAACTTAAAAAATTACCGGAGGCAAAGTATAAGATACGTATTTGGAAACTTCTCAACTGATCCCTAAGTACCAGTCTCTCTTATTCCCCTCTCCTATTTGAACACTTCCTTCTTGCTCATTATATTTTAGTAGACAAAAGTGCAAATAAAATACTACACACCTGCTGCACTGAGAGATCCTGATTTTTCAACAATATTAATGCAAGGCTTTTCCATGCTCCCGCAAAGCAAGGATTCAGAGAGATTTTTAGTGGGTTTGAAAAAGGAAAACGCCAAGAGGTTTTACATGAGAGTTTTTGAGGGAGAAAAAGACCGATATTATTGAAATGAAATTACTGACTACTGTTTTGCTGATATATTTCACCAAAAATTCACCTTCATTCAGTACGTCTTTCCAGGTACTTTGGTACTGAACTACCTATAGTAGTATTACAACAAGCACGTGCAGCTCCTTTCACAGACGTGGTTTATACAGGTTTATTATCAACAGAATAATGGTACGGATCAAGTATTTCCCATTTAGGTTACCACTGAGTTGTAACTGATGGAGAGAATTTTACTCACCCTTTAATACACACCTCCAACCCATTTGTACGTAACAGATGTCTAGAACTTACAGTGACTCAATCACAGCAAATCAGGTTTTGAATATATGGCAATGCAAGCAAGACAACTGATAATCTAGATAACTTGGCAGCCTGCTGTGCTGAGTAAATTTGTTTTATAACAGACATTCTCATTTAAATATAGACACTGCAAAATATTACAGCTCTTTATAGGTGAGGAACACTTGTTCTTAATTTTAATAATATTTAATTAAAGCTTGCTATTTTGCTGGAACTGAGACACCAAGGAAAGAACCTGCTCTGAGGCTTTAATTTGTTTAGTCCCCAGGTATGCTGCACTATTACTGGCTGTGTCCTCTAGGAAATATCGGTAGTTTACCATCATGCCACAAGACGCAGCAATGCCCCGAGGGCTTGTGTCCGCCATCCAGTTTATCCGCCACATCACAGAGCCATTCTGAAGATGAAAATTTGCTACTGGATTAAGAGCATAGCCACGATGTTTCTCTCCATACAAATACCAGGCACAGAGTCTCATAAATGGTGAATGGAGCACTTCAACTAATTTTTCTGATCTCACCCACTCATTGTTATTTAAGAGTTTCTTTAGTGTTTCAGTAGTAGGGTCTCCTGTGATCTCAGAGATTTCTTGCCATTCTGATTCTGTAAAAAGTTCACTTCTTTCCAGTTCTTTTGTTTGTGAGGAGAGGAGACCGAGAAGCCATTTGGTGAATCCCGGGATAGGTGAAAGAGTAGAAAAAGCTTTTATCTGAGGAAGTTCTTTCTGCAGACAAAAGGAGAGAAGAAAAATTCATGAGTTTTGTCATGATTGACAATGAGAAGTTTGAGTGAAAGAACAGCTGATAGCCTTCACTTGATGTCAAGCAAAGACTAGGGATTCTGAGAATTAACTGATACACAGAGACAAAAAAAAAAAAAAAAAAAATCCCCCTGCCAGTAATAGGTTAGTGACTAGAAAGCACTTGGAGAGTGACGAAAATTTTAACAGTGACTAAATTACAGTACACACACACAATCTATATGAAAGTACTTATGCAGTACTTACCAACACTACGTTCTGGTATATCATTTTATAGGCAGAAATAAACAAATACAGTCGCATGCCATAAAGAAGTTAATCAGATGAATAAGATTTAAAAAAAAAATAAACATACAAGTTTTCAAAACCTTTTAAATATCATTTATTTTTCATATGTAACTGTCTTTTTTTAAATTAAGGGCCGTTTATTATTTCAGTCTATTGTAAAATCAGGAGAGGTGCGATTTCTAGATATTAATGTAAAGAAGTATTTCCTGAAGTTTTGAAAGAGGTTCTTTATACAGGCCAGCTACTTTTCATGCTATTCCCAAACTATAAGCTACATTGATAAAATAACAAGATAAGAAATATATACTTGCAGTAAAAAAAATTAATCACACTGTTTAATACTTTTTTTAACAAAATAAAACTTCTTCTCCTACTAATTTATGAGTAAAAACTGTTAACTGTGTAATCACGTGAAGCAAAATATACGTAACGAAAACTGTGTGTTAGTTTTGGGGCACACCAATGTGAAGGACAGAGAAGGCTGTTAAACCCACTGTCACTTGGAATTAACAATAATTACATCAGCCAACCCTGCTGAAGGAGTAGGAGGGGAAAGGAACAGAGGGAAGATGGAGCTGAACTGAAACAACCACAGCGTTGTTTTAATTATTGTTCATATAGGAAGAAGTGGTAAGAACCAAGACATTTATCAACATTACAGAAGCATCTTAATGTCAACAGAAAATTGTCTTTAAATGACTACAAAATGCATTTTTTCTACTTTGAGTATTACTGAGATAACCATTAAAAAGTCATCATCGCTCAAATACTACCTTACACTAGCACACGTTAATGGAACGCATGCTGCTCGGTTGTTTGTGTGGCACCTGCGCTGTTGCATCCTCAGGTACCGCTGTGCTCCACACAACGCTGCCATCTGCATTCTATTTCATGAGGATGCAGAAGTCGGGGAACCTGGCATACCTCTGTTACAGACTGGAGCCAAGCACCGCTTCTAATAGCTTCAGTAACCGGAATACTGTTCAGCTGGTTATTTATATCATCTTCTTCCTTCCCACACAGAGCTTCCCAAATAGCTTACTGCTGTTCTGCTGGCTTCTGGCACTACGATACACCAGCCAGCTCAGATCTACCACCTCTTCAGTTTTGAGACTTATAACTGCATAAACTGAATAACCTCACTTGCTCCTCTTATCGGAAGTTATTTAACTGTTACGCAGATACACAAGTCAAAGAATTCTTCTTTTGGGACCAGACAGGAACAAGAAAGGCAGACCAAGTTACAAAGAAACACCCCATTTCATCTCCTTGGAAAACTGGATAAAGCAAAAAGCAAATTATTTCATAAAAACATTCATTTTTGTAGCTTACTGAACAAAGCAACCATTTATGTAATCAGAGAGAGCAGGAGATCCTGACTGTGTCATATTCTCAACTGCTCTAGCTACCATGGTCAGATAATGCAATACTAGTAAAGCGTTGATCTCCTGTGACTTTTTCAAGTCTCCATTAAAGGACATGATGATATTTTATTTTTAAGAGTAATTCTGAAGCATAAGTCTGTAACAAGATCTGTGAAATACAACTATCGGGTTTCATCACGTATGCATTTCATAAAAGAAAAAAACATTATTTGGAAATTGATGTAAAGAGATGTCTGTGGAAGGCAATTTCTGCTGATAGGTCTTTGTACCATTTTAGAGAATACAGCATTTATAAAACAAAATAGCTTATTAGGGTTCTGCTCTTACTGCGGACCATGACTACAAGAGGCACGGATATAGAAAATACCTTTTAAGTAAAGGAGTGTTTCTTGGAATAGATAGTTCAGCCTTTTTAGAGAAGTATCCCCTCTGCTTTTGAAAAAGATACCAATGACAACAGTAAATTAAATATATATATGTATATATATCTGGGAGCAGAAAAAGGGCAAAAATGAGAACAGAACAAAGCAACTCCATACACTTCAAAAATCTTTCCCTTCCCAACCCCACGCTAAATACTTCCCCATGGATATAAAGACTATCTATCCACAAATCAATTCAAAATAACTTTATAAAATTTGAATACAGAATCAAATACACTCACTAAATCTTCCTTTGATCACCTTTCATCCACCTCCTTGTACAGTTTCTGAATCAAGCAGTATACCTAATCATCACATCTGGAATCCACTTTTCTTTAAAGCAGCAGGATCTTAATTAGTATGGTAGAGCAGAGCTAAGCTCCGATGCCCCCTTGTCAGCTACACTCTCCTTGACTGAACACTAGCTCCCACCAAAGACAACACTGCTAGCACAAAGGTGCAGACCTCCTGGAGAAGGAGGAGGGAGAAAGATGGCACAGAAGTGAATTTTTAAAGGCTACTGGAAAAATAACTTAAAGCTATTTGTTCCTGGAGAAAAAGCTGAAAGCTTTCAGTTCTGTCAAGATGGTAACGAGCAGCATCACTTGCTACCTTCACTTCTCCATCAGCACGCTGAAAGCTGACCAGTGGTGACTCTACTGTGACCAGCCATAGCTTAGCTGCTGAGACAGTCTGCTGTCAAGTAATTTGACCTTTAGCATGTCAGCTCTTACTGCGGCTAGATGCATTTCTGCCCAGAAGGGAGGGCCACAACTCCCTTCTCAAGACTCAATGACCCAGGACCCTTCTGCCTGTCCACACAATAATGATGAATGACAACTCAGCAACTGTCTAGGATGTGATAGACCTGCAAATGAACCTTAAGGTACAGAAACACAAACCTGTAATCTATAATGAGAAGTACCTTTTTCCTGTCAGCATCCTTAAGCAGCAGCAAGCTCCCCCCAAAAGACACTGGATTTCAAAATGGGGTTTCAGTCTTCTATGTCTTCATTCCCTGTTGTGCTTTAAAGTTCATCTTTAGTCCATATCACAGAGAACACAAGAGACAGGGATAAATCGGTAAAAGTTTTCAAATTAATGACCTATCAATGAGAAATCCTAGATGTGCTGCTAGAGGGAGTACAGACGTTACTATTGTGCAGTTGGGCTGAAAAAGAAGAAGAAAAAAAAAAATAAGAAAAAGGTTGTTAGAGGTTATTTTCCTCTAGGTAGGGATTCAAGGAATACCAGATGTGTTTCTTTTTGACCCGAAGATGGGATTACATTCCTTAAAGGTTTTCCTTTTTTTCTAACTCTATTACTCATCCTATAAAAGATAGTGCCTTTGAGAACGTACTGCTTAGGTCTCTTTCATAAATTCTCCACAGATGTTTGGGGTTAAAACCTGAGAGGGGAAGAAGGAAGGTAACACTGAAATTTGAGAAGCAGAAACTCTTCTTTCAGGTAAAAGGAAAAACTGATTGGACCAAGAGAAATGGCTGCTTACCACAAAGCCAAGCCTGGAAGTCTTCTGCACCATCTCTGTTAAGAAAGCACAGTGTCTGAAAATACTATTTTGCTACTGAACAGAGCTAAGAAACAGGGCTTTTCACACAGGAGCTGAGCCATGCCCATTGCTTCCACAGGGCAACAATTCCAATCTCATCTCCCAGCTTGCAAAGCCGAGAGGGTACCTATGCCCTATCCACAAGGACAAAAGTGAGAATGGACAAATTCTTCCCGTATTTGTGTGTTAATAATAGCCACTGCGAAGTTCCTAATGAAGTAACTGACATTTTGCTTCCTTGTGATGTTGGCTGCTCTTTGTTTATCATTCACTTTCAGGAGTGACCCATTCACCAAGCCCAACCCAAAATATTTATCAGGAAGTTAGTAGCTCCTACTCTACTAATAAATACAAAATGGGAAATTGTGCATGTTTTTTACTTCTTAGGACAGATAAGACATAGGAAAGTGACCCCATTTTGAAGCTACAGTACAGATTACTACACATCTGATAAATGCTTGAGTTTAGGAGCTTATCTGAGGCAGCCATTTCTTGTAGAAAAATAAATAGATGCAGCGAAGCGCGTACATTTATGCTGTGGCTAAATTGATGTGCTAGTTTCTAAGGCTATTGGTGGAGATCCATTAATGTTTATTTTCTTGTCAGAAACCCACACATCATTAAGAAACAGCTGCTCGTTTTGTTTTGGGGTAGATTTCTGGTTTTCGTTGTCTTTTAGGTTTTTTTCTTTTTTCATTGCAGAAGAGCGCAGATTTCTCCCGTTATCCATATCTCATCTGAAACTATCTTGCACTCTGAAAGCTGTAGTCCAAGGTCACATTTTTCATCAATGAAAGCAAAGCCTGTTTTGGAAATTATGATCTCCCCAGGTCACCTAGATCAAATTAAGGTAGCAATTATCAACAGTCCAACCAGAAAGCTAAAATCTGCCGACAATTGTTAAGCATTCTATTGAGTCACATAGTAGCTATCAGTTTTCTCCCCCAAATGCCACAGGCTATAAAATTCTAAGCAGTTTTCTCAAAGGCTTCACCACAGTTATCTGTGTCTGTCATCTGCAGACTGAATTGCTATGATGTACCTTCTGCGGAGCTACAGACCATTTAGAGTGGCTATAAACGCATTCTGAATTAAATGTCTGTCTAATGAGAAATCTGTCTACGCGTTCACCAGCACCTATCAGCTTGCTAGAAATGCATCTGCCTGCTTGTTTTCCAGCACTCAATTTGGGGTTTGTTTTCTTACTAGTTGTCTGAAATTGTTTCAAAATCCAATTCGTTTCTGGGAACAATACAAGCTTAAATGTAAGAAATACAGGAGATTATTTCTGTTGTCTGCTCCCTGCTTTATATACATTAATATAACCAAGACACTGCGCAGAACGCATAGGTAGCCTATTCTCAGATTTGTACAGGGAGAACTGGGATGAAAGTGGTATCAGTGGACTAATGAATTCATCCCACTGCTTGTCCAAAAATAATACAAACAGGAGATGCTCAGATAACAATAGAAGCCTGTTTATAAAACCCTTCTAAATTATTTGTGTAGCAAACTTTTGCCAAGCAGCCACCAAAAAAAAGAAAAATCTCCTATTTAGAGCAGCATGTTTTCTCCCAGGATGCCCTTCGCATGCGACACAAGCTACATTTCTAAGGTGCTACTCTGATCTCCGTTATATCCCTCCCCTTTACCCAATTATATTACAATACCTGTGGCAAATGCCAAATCATGTCTAGGTAGATATTAAGGATTCAAGCTGCTAACTATGCACACATAAAGAGATGAAACTGAGGACCCATTTCTGTGACTCAACTTCATATGTCCTCCATCTGCTTAAATTAGGGAAAG